CTATATATATATATATATATATATATATATATAGGAAAAGTATACAAAGAGACCATTTACTTTTAGTACAAGGAGGTCACAGCCATTCTTGTCCATCAAATTTCAAATCAAATGGTTATAAATGTACATGCGACTAAATTCAATGGGCAACAAAAAATTTATGGAACTTTGTGACACACCCCTAGCCATCCCATTGGACATCTAATGCTTAGGAGTAATTGTGACCTCCTTATACTAAAGATGTGTGTGTATGTGTAGTATCTCGCATCGAACACTTGGAGGACATCTTCATCTTTTTCTTCTGCGTATATGTACAGAAAGAAGGAATATGTGTCCGTGTGGGAGAGGGGGACGCCTCACATCGAACACATGGAGGTCACCCTTTTTTTATTCTTCTTAGATGTAGTGAGAGAACTTATGGGCCCATATGTGTGTCTGTAAGAGAGAGAGAGAGAGAGAGAGAGGCCTTGCATCGAATGCTTGCATGCAATCTTCTTTGTCTGTGAGAGAGGGGCCTCGCATCGAACACTTGGAGGACATCTTCTTTTCCTTCTTCTTCTATGTAGAGATAGAGATTAAGGGTCCATGTGTGTGTGTGCATGTGAGAGAGAAAGAGGGGGAAGCCTCGCATTGAACACTTGGATGCCATATTCATTTTCTTCGTCTTCTTATATTTAGAGAGAGAGCACATGGGCCTGCAAGAGATAGAGCAAGGCCTTAACTATTTTTTATTTTTTTTAAGGGGGCTTATGCCTTTTTTTTTAAAGGGGGTGGCACTATGAACCCGCCTGAGCGGCCGCTGGCTACCCAAGCAGGCACCTAGAAACATGTCCGCCTAGGGCACCTGCTTTGGCCTATATTATGCTCTTTTTTTTTTGTTCCCTGGCCATGGCCAAGTTTTTTAACATTGGATGGAATGGTTGAAAATTTTGGAAAAAGACTAGTGCCTTGGAAGACGAGATTCCTATCCCTAGGGGTTAGACTTGCACCATAAGCAGTGGTGCCGCTTCACACAACAAGGTCTTTGGCAGTGCCATGTTCAAGATACATACGATTTACGAATCAGGGTGATTCGCAAAGCATAACACAGGTGCTAGTGCATTGAGAGTATGGAGGAGTGCTTCCATCGTGTATGGGGATTAGTTAATAAAATATGCATTCTGTCAAAGAGCGGCATAGCACCAGACCGTGGAGGGACTTATTGTTGGGGGACTCTCCACTTGGCTGCCTCTTCCCCAGCCTGTTTTCCCTCGCTATAGACCAGAATGGATCTATAGAGCATTCATATGAAGCCCTGTGGCCAACTCACCTGGGTCCCGAAGTTAAGGAAGAATTTTCAGGAGTCGGGACACTGAAATTGCTGATTTGGGGATCCTATTGGACCTAATCCAAAAACAGTCCTTACCTCAAAGGGATAGGCACAAGCTTATCTAGTACAAAGCGGTTTCAGGTATCATTTTGTCCTCATCTATGTACACAGCCCTGAATACCACTTAACTCCGGGTCAGCAATTGCAAGGAAGGCATGGCTTACCTGTCTCTCCTAGCATCCACACATTCAAGCGGCTTGTCATCGCAAGGAGAACTCCTATTATAAATCAAATTCAGGGGATAGGTATCCCAATCCCTATCATTTGTGACATGAGGAGAGAGGGCCGAGAAAAATATAGATCATTTGATTTTGCATGGCCCCAATGGCTGCCCAGGTTTGGGCTCAATGGATTTGGCCTGGTCTCATTGAGACCTTTTTGTCTGCCTATTTCTCACCTCAATTCCTGCTGCTGGTCTCTTCTTATAGCAAGCACCAATGCTAGCCTCTACATGGACCTTGTGGATTAAGCGCAATGCTAGAACTTCTGACGGCAAGCGAGGGAGTGGGTCCACTGTTTGATGAGGCTCATGGTAATATTTTTGGCTCAAAATTGTAAAGCCTTTGCTTGCTAGTCATCTGTGTACTTCTACGAAATTGGGGGGTACATCAGTTGCACTAGGCCTATGGTTCATCCCAGATTGGGCACATGGAAGTCTTCATTATTGCAGTTGTTAACATCATTTTGAACACGGTTCCTTGGGCAACCCTGAACCCTCAGGAGTTGGAGGCCCGTTCAGGAAGCATTTCAGACATTGCATGCTCATGTATTCAGGCCACATTGGACATTTAGATTCTACCAGGGCCAAGGCTTTGGCACTAGTTGAGGAACTTAAAAGTGTTTGCCTCTGCTTGGTTCACTCACTCAAAGTGGTTAGGGACTCCAGTAGTGTCATCAGGTGAGCCTCTAGGCAGGCCACTTGCCTTGCCACTTCGAACAACTGTTGACCACATATCTGCACTCTCTAGCAATCTTCAGGTCTCAGGGAATCATGCTTGGCGAGAGGCTGATGCTCTCGCTAAGAAGGAGGCGATTGGAAACATTTTTCTAGTCAATAGGCTATGGTCCTAGAGGAACAGCTTTGTAATTCGCATTGTAAAGACGGCTGTTCATTCATTTCATTCCGGTTTTCATTGCTGCAGGTTTTTGCACAGCACAGAAATATGCAAGTTGTAATTCTACTTTACAGAAATACAAAGTCAATCTTTATCTTAATGAAAAAAAAAACGAAGAAGAAGTTAAGATGGTGAAATTATTCAGAACAATATAGCAATCTCTAACATATTATTTACTAGAAATGAAAGTGCAAAATTTAGGTAGTGACCTTCTGAGGTTACCTTTTTTTTTGTTTTTTGGGTATTCAGTGGTAGGAATCGAACTTGGGATGTAGTTTTTCAATTGTGAATATCTAATCATCCAAGCACAAGTATGATCCTACCGTCTAAGGTTACTGCTTAATAATAAACTATTATCCTCGCATTAAAATAAAGTTCAAAACATTGTGTGGCATAAAAAGTGTAACAGTGATCTCACTTGTAAACGTAAGTTAGACCAGTAACTGAGAATAGAAAAAGAAGAAACTACGCTGTTGCCCTCCCAACATATTGGTCTAGCGGACTCTACTCTTGTTGAGGCTCTTGCCCTGTTGGAGTCCTGAATTAATCATGGAAGGGGATTCCAAAAACACCATTGCTCGGGCTTCCAACACTACTCCTTGCCCATGGCGGCTTGATCACATCTTCGACGAGATTACCATATTTGTAGGGGCCTGAGAGTATCGTGGAATCATGTCAATAGGGAATCCAACACCGAGGCCGACTCTTTGGCAAAGGAGGAAGCTCAATCCAACCAGAATTTCAGGTTTTAAGCCCTCCTGTTTTCCCCTCCCTTCCTTTTCTATACCTCTGATCACACGCTGTAAAGCATTTTTTAGACCCTTTCAGGGTTTTAGGGGGCCCGGAAAGGGGTGCCTCATTTTTTGTACATTTTCTCTTTATGCAATATAAGTGAACATTCTAAAAAAAATAGCAAAAGAAGAAACACTCAAATCTATTTCATGATTAAAGGAATCTTGAGAATAAGCAAACTCATTATTGAGTACTGCTTACCAGGCAATACACACCAGCTGTGACAAAACCAATTAATCATTCCATTAACATATCATGTAAAAAGAGCGGCCACTGAATCTGTTATTCTATGGTACAAGTAAAAGACCAATACCTGTAAATTACAGTTTGCTCCCCTAGACAAAAGTAATCCGACGCATGATTTTGCACCTCTAGCCAATGCAACGTGGAGAGGTATCATATCATGTCCATCCCTGATGTTCACATCAACTCCAGCGTCCAAAATAATCTACTCGAAGTATAAAAAGAAAACCCTCATTATGATCTGAAAGAACATGACATAGTCTAGAATGTATCATATGCCTCTAAGAAAGAAAAATAATCATTAGACAGGATATGGAGAACCATGGTCTATGGGGAGGAACAATGTCCATTTAAATGATGGCCAGTGAGGGAGAACATACGACACCAATAAGAACAGGATATCCCACTCTCACTGTCACTATCCCTCATGTAATTGGATGGCGATGATCTTAGTGGTCAATGGTTTTCATACTCCCACTGAACTTAGAATACCCCTCCCTCCAAAAATTGATGGAACAAAAAATCACAAACAAAATTGATAGACTAAAGCATAAAAACCTTTTGGGTATCCCATCTTTTTATCTATACAAGTATTCACTATTTGCCATGTCACATACCTTAACCATTTCTACATCATTGGCCATTGCGGCAGTATGTAAAGCTGTTCTCCCATGCTGTAATTCCTGGGCACTTGGATCTGCTCCAGCACCAAGCAAGAGCCTGACCAAATCTCTGCATTCTGAGCAATAACAATCAACATGTTTTCAGCATACCGTGAACAATGGTTGGGTCAATCATTGATCGATTTCAAGCAACAAATTCATCTATATCTACTTCATGGTGCAATTCAAAGTGGAAAGCCATTGACATTGTTTCAGAAAATGGTCCTCCCATGCCTAGATGCCGGACGGACCGCAGGGCTCACACCCAAGCCAGGGCAGCCCTCCCTAGGCACCAGTACCTGGGTGCATACCCAGGCCTTGGCAGCCCTCCCTAGGAGCCAGTACCTAGCGCCAGCACAAGAGACCTAGGCAGGCGCCCAGGGCCTGCCCTAGGGGGCACTTTGAGTAATTTTTTACCCATGATTTTTTCATAAGAGGCCCTTGGGGATATTCTAAGAAAAAATCTGAGATTTTTTTAAGTTTTTTCACTAAATCGGAACAAAAAATCTGAAGTTTTTTCTAAGCCACAAATCTATGGACATTTTTTTTTCACTAAATTTTCTGTGATTTGAAGTTTTGAACATGATTATTCTTAACGTGTTATATTCCCCCCCCCCCCCACCCACCCAAAAACCCCCCCAAAAAAACAAAAAGCCAAAATAAGAAAAAGATACAGAAAAAAGTTACAATGTTTAAGATTAGTTACTACTCCTAAGGCTGTTCCTTATGCTATGCTAGGTTTGTGTTCGGATTTTCTCCACAAACAAAATAAGATCTGCCAATCATCTCACAAAGCACTTAGGCATGAGTCTGACCATGCATGAAAAAGAAACCTAAGACCATATTCAAACTAGTCTGTAGCTCTTGCTATGCATGAACAAGCACACCTCACAGGGGTAGAGACAGATTTATGAAGCCATGTTTAGGAGATAGGAGAGAGAGACATTACATAGAAAGTGACAATAAAAGAGAACATGTGGCAAAAGTAGAAAGGAGGAGAGAAAGGGAGGGGAGAGAGACTCCTGATCAGAAGCTTAAGGGGATTCATTTTCCATATCTTTTCCAAGACAAAATCCCAGATAAACAATCAAACAATCATGCTGCAATATTCCAAAAGCCTCAAAACTAAGAAGTCATTCAAGGAAAGTAGAAACCAAAATACAAGAAAACATTTGATATAAATTATATTACCCGTTTCATGGTCTTTCTTTAAAGCAGCCGCCATACACAATACCGTTCCAACAGAACTGGGTATTTCAATTGCATCATAAATCTCTTCTTGGGAAGCAACCTCCACCCATTTTTTCACAACAGCAACATTCCATGTTGTTATGCACATGTGTAATGGTCTGTCTCATTAAAATGGACTTGTCTCAATAAAAAAACCAATATAGAAAACCGAAGACAGAAATACGAAGGGAACTGAGGAATGGAAGGAGGGATTAGCAAGAAAAATAAAAGCACAAAACAGTGAAAAAACAAATGCAGCTAGCAATGATGTCATTTGATACATTCTAATTCTCATACTTTTATGGAAAGCAAGAAACCAAGTGAATGATCCACCAATTACAAACATTGAAATATCTTGAACCAAATTATCAACCAAAGCAACTGCCCGGTTTCGTTCAAACCAGTAGAAGCATCTTTGTCAATGATATTCTCCTTCCGATGAAACATTAGACCAAAATATTCATATATAAATAATTACCATCCTATGCAGCTATCTCAAGAACAATCACTAGTATCTCATCATACAGTTATAATTTACAAAACAGAAGTATATATTCTGGGTACTTCCTCCTACCAGTCCTCTCAACTCTACAAGTACTCTTTTTTACTAAAACTTTATTCATTTTCCACAAGGTCTTCGAAATATATTAGTCAAAGCCCCCCTTAAAAAACTCTCCCAGCCACGAAGAACAACTTGCAGTAACTTTTAATTTTTACGTTCATCAATACAAAGTGATATTTCTCCTCAACATGGATTCCATTTCAGAGTAAATTATTACTTTATGATACCTCCGTCTAATTTTCCAATATAAGAATTGGGGTAGCAAAGTGGGAAAGGAGCTCTTAGATAAGCTAATGCAAATAAGGGATGAACTTCAAACCCCTGACTTTTATCATATGATTGACTACATAAGTGGAGCTTGATACAACTATTTTCCTGTTTCTATATGATTGCTCTAAGTATAATGTCTACCGTCAACAGCTGCCCATGGCTATCTAGGATGGGTCAACTAATAAAAGACATCCTAGGAATGACTCTCAAAACCTTCATGAGGCCTATGGGTATTTCCATTTTACTAAGGTCAAAGCAAAAGCAGCATTAATAGACCTTAAAGTTTTCCTCTGCTCTCATGGAACCCCTAGTCTAGAAGGTGATTAGGCTAACACATCATATGGCACCATAAAGAGGGAGTGTCCCCAGTCACTAGCCAATATCATTGAAGATGTATCCAAGAAAGGTGATGGGGTTTCCACAATAATATTCCAATGTGCTTAGATAAGATAATTGCAAAATGGAGTCTCTCTTGGAAGTCAGTGGAGGTTATTGAGCATCGCACAATTAGGGACCATAGTTACTGAGATCTCCCAACCTAGGTACCAATCTGCCCTGGGATCTCACTCAGATCTCCAAGATGGGAATCTCCATGAGATCTCAATTTTTAATTTGGGATCTCGATCCCCACTTCTTAAGGAGTGCTCCTAGCCACTCGAAGGGACAACAAGAGACCACGAAGATGATACAATTGGATCTTAACAATTGGATCTTAATTGACTCTCTCTCTCTCTCTC